TCCAGAAAGGTTTCTAAAACAGCCTGCAATTATTTTTCCCCAAACGGAATTGAGTATCAGAGTGACGCAAATCACTACCATTTATGATAAATAATCAAACTAAGGCATTAAACAACGATAAGGCTCGCTAAACATACATAATAAAAATTCATTTATAAAAGTTATTTATTATCAGTAATTTTTTGATTAATTAAACACTAAAAGTGCTACTAAAAACAAAATATGACCCATGAGGTACGCCCATGATAAGGAACGCTTTTGTAGTTCCGATACCATGTAATGCAAAACAATGGCACCAATCATCATCATCATCATCATCATCATCATCATTATCAGCCTATCGCAGTCCACTGCTGGACATAGGCCTCTCCCATTGCACGCCACTTAGATTGATTTTGGGCTTCTCGCATCCAGCAAATTAAAGCAACACTTTATCTCTGAAAATTTGTATGTTCATTGTGTCAAATAAGATGTGGTGGGAGTTTGTGGTCATACCTGTGTCGAATTCTTAGCGTCCGGGTGCAACGAGATGTTGGGCACGGGGTGGTCTTGGTTCTCGAGCCACATTGGAGCGCTCAAGTATGTCACGCAACCGCTCGTCTCTGGGTACAGGTCCGCGTGATATTCACGGTAACTCTGTCAACAAAATTAACATTCAAGTAAAAATGTATTTGTTTTATAATAAACTAGCTATCGCTTGCGTGATTATTTCTTCTTTCGTGTTTCTGACTTTGAAAATGACGAAATGCAAAATGCGGTAGTAATACTTAGACAAAAATCTTTTGTATAAGTATTACTACCGAACAAATGAATTTTTAAATCAAAATTTGATTCCAATTTTAAATTATACGACGAGTATTCTCAATAATTGAGTTTAATACTTGTAACATTGCATTGAATAATTATTTGCATTACATTTTATAATCCTTGAGTATATTTAATAATTACTGACATTGTATTTAATCACTTTTGACATTGTATTTAACAATTCTTGACATTGTAATTAATAATCCTTGACATTATATATTTTGATAATCCTTGGCATTGTATGGTTTTAACAACTAATTTTGAAATGTTGCTCTAATGAATATAAATTTAATTCTTTGAAATTCGTACGCTGGAAACAGCAGAATACTGTGGACGTCATATTATATCTAACAAATGTATATCAACAATATTCTGACAAATTAATCAATTATTATTATTTTAAAGCATTAGTTGACAAAATTTCAAGTTTGCCCCATCCGTCCCCGGCGATTTGGGCTCTGCATTGATGACTTGTATTAATTTGTAGACGCGTAAACCTCTTAACCCTGGATGTAGGCGTTAAATAACTATATGAATCTAATTATACACACATAATCATTTAATCTAATTAGTCATAACTGCCCCTGTCAGGTGTATTTTTTTTATATTAGTAAATTACTTATAACAATGGCGACCTACCTTCCTTGGTACTTGGTACATGATGGGTACGACGGAAGACCCACACAACTGCAGCACTCGGTTCACTTCGCCTTCCATCACGCGCAGAGCACGTTTCGGAACTAAACAAGCACCTTTAGTTTGTTCTCCTGTAACGATTTTTTTTATTATTATTATTCCTGAACACTTCTCACCGTAGGAGCCATTTTACCGTACAAATGGGCCGGCTCAATTGGAGTGATCTCACAGAATTCCGGTGTTAATTCATTTTGTGGTTGCTTTTCACCAAATTCTAGGGGAAGGGAACACTCAAAGAGTTTATTTCGTCGTTACGATTGACTCACATTGAAATCTTCACCAATCGCAATGCCAAACGCACTCGCCCTCGAGAGTAAGTTGATATGAAATAAACTCGCACTATACTTATTTGAGAACCTTCCCTAGGCCCTATGACGGCGTAGTGTTAGTTTATTTCGCAGACTCGATCGTCACGTTGACCCCGTTCGACGTCGTGATTGGTAAAGAGTTTAGTTCGGTAGTTCGGGCCTCTGATATCTCTTGAAATGCCGGTGAACATGGGTGGCTATTGTCACTTGTCACAAAAATGTCAGTAGTAAGGAATATCAAAAGAGGTACTTACCGGAATGTCTCAGTCCCTCAATAAGGTACGGTTCTCTATCAGTCAACTCCATGTAGAGTATAGTCGTATCACCCTTTCCAGCTAAGAAGAGCATGTTGGTGTCAGGATCGAACAACGGCATCAAGATCCCCGTGGAGCAGTCCAGCTCTAATGTTTTCTGTGTTTGCGACAAGTTGCGAATGTCTCTGATCATGATTTGACGAAGACGGGCTGAATCGAATCCTGTAGAAGAAAAAAAATGCATGGTATGAGAGATATTCAACGTTCAGTTTTTTTTTACACGATTGAAAAGGAGGGATATGTTTTTGAGTGTTAGTATGTATATTGATTTGGCACGCTTTGTAGTCCAAAGGGCTTGGAAGGTACTATTAGATTGTTCCTAATTACTAGACTGGGTATATGAAAATTATAAATTAAAAACGATTTGTAAATTTTAAGTACACATTTTCCACAGCCGTGTTTTTTGTTTCGCAATCATTAGCTTGTAAACTCGAACATTGATAGAAAGCGCATTAACATTGCGTGATCAGATTAAAAGAAATACACTTACCAGTAGTAAGTATCCTGTCCTGGTCCCCCAGCCAGACGATCCTGCTGTCCTTGATGTTCTGATGGCTGTTCGCCACGTCAAGCACTGACGTTGCGGCCCTAGGGTCCACTATACGAACTTTTTTATCCTTGCATGAAGTAGCCAAAAGCTTGCCATCTTTCTTCCACGAAGTCGATTGGATTACTTCACCATGATCTCTGTTTACTGCAATGTTGAATTATTTTAGTAAGACAATTTATCCATCTTGTAATTATTTCTAATGAATTATGTATACATTTCTGAGTATGGAATGATAATTAAACGTTAAAAAGGTACTTTTTGTAAAACTTGTAAATAGTAATTAGTCTAAGTCAGACCGAAAAAAAACTTAAGTAAATATGCCTTAAGAGTAAGTACTATATAAAAGTCAATTCGATAGTTAATATTTATAAATACTTTTAACACAAACAAAATAATCATACTGGTATCAGCAGTCTGGTTGAAACAGCACAAGCTATGCCTAGTTTGGGATCAGACTGTCGTGTGTGAGATTTTATTATTATACTTCGACAACCTATTTAATGAATAATGATAATCTTTAACATATCTCTCACCATTACAACGTTCGCGCTCTTTCCCGTTACTTACCAAAAGCTTCCTTTTGCTTAGTCAAGTCCCACAGGGCAAGTTCATGCCCCGAAGCAACGTGGATAAGTCCATCAGCTACGGGATGAAACCCAACATTCTCTACACGTCGTTGCTTTTGTGACAGTGTGCATTCCGGCGTTGTAAGGGACTCTTTTAGGCCCTCCGGTGGTATATGCCATATTTTCACCTAAAAGTAAAATAATTGACAGATAAGACTTATCTAATCTACTACACCTCACCAACATAAAACCTCTTTAGGTTTTATGTCATGATTTGTTACTCATAGAAACGTCGCCAAAACTTTGCTAAAAAAATCATAGTAAAAAATAGAAAAAAAGCGTGGGGTGCTTTTTACTATTGACAACAGGCACCCAACGCTTTTTTTTTAATTTATTTTCTATTTTTTAGTTTGGTTTTCTATAAAAAGAGTGTTTTTTAGTTTTTTAAAACTATATTATTATTTTTTTAAATTAGTGTATTGTCATCGGTCCTCGATATATCTACAAAGTTTGAACTAATTCTGAAAGTTTAAAGTCAGTCAAAATCACGCCCAAAGGAGTCGGTTACAAACATATAAACAAACATACAAGTGAAGCTAATATAAAGCGTGTAAAAATGAACGCGTAACCATGCATATAACATGTCCTCCCTGCTTATGCTGAATTTTTTATAGGTCTGGTGGCTCGTGTCTTCACTTGCAATTACAACTTACACGATATACGTAGAGACGACACCTTGGTGACGTCATGAGCTATGGCTCATTATGATCTCTTAGGTATTTTTTTTTGCTGCATCTAAATAAGAAGTCAGCACGATTGAAGAAATATCCAGAAGCCTTGATTATAGTCGATTCCTGATCATCATCATACAATGTAGGTCAGCACAACAACTAGTTTACTACTAAAACATTTACTAGGAGAGTATTATAAAACTATGTTATGTTATTATTGTTCCTTTATTTCCTCATTAAAGCTACATAATGATTTTCCTGTTATGAAGTAAATATAAGTTGTATTTTCTTGGGTCTTTAAACATTTACAATCTTAAAACCACATTGAGTTGCACATCCACATGGACATGGATGTACATTCAAACACATGTACATCCACTGCTATTATGGTATTAACGAGTTCACCTGATGGAAAGTGACTATGGCAGCAAACGGACACGACCTTTGAGTGTGTGTCCCCCTCCCATAATGGGGAAGGAATCCAAGGGAATTGGAGGGGAGGGTTGGGCCTCCAGTAACCTCCCTTACTAGTAGTCCATGGGTGGTGGTAGTTACTATCAGATACCCCGTCTGTCAAAAGCGGCAGATGAAGCTCTACTCTATTCGGAGTTGCCCACTTCTAAAACTTTCACCCTACTAAAGACCCCCGTCTTGGAGGATATTTGATTTCTGATGGTGCAAAGAGCAATACTAAAGCTATGTTTTCAATAAGGTATAAAGTCATCGACATAAATATCGCACCCGCGGGACATTTACGTGCGAGTGTCCAACGACTTTGTCAATCGACATTTCGCTCGGCCACATACCGAAATAGTGCGCCTTACTCAGGAAAAGCATTTCAAAACAAAAATGAAAAAGATGGTGGGTTAAGGAAAAGTCAATAGGCTTCAAGTGTGTGATGGCTCATTCAAAAATTTTACAAGAATGTCTACAACCGATTTCAAAATATGACGATGATTTTGGTATAGCTATATGATGTTGGGACAGTTTTGTCAGACCGCACTGCCACAAAGGGACACGCGTCCTCACTACTCAAATGCTGTCGGGCGATTGTCGAGGGACACAAAGTCGCGCAAGGTCGACGCTCTCGAAGCGTTGACACGCAACATGTCCCGCGACACGTAGATATTGCCTGCGATGTCGGGCGATGTCTCCCGACACGCAGAAATGATGTCGGGCGACTAGGGCTAGGATTAAGTACTGATGTCAACTGTACATATAATCATATAAGCTTTTATCACCACCTTCTGGTATCAAATCATAGATATCAGTAGGTAATGTTTTGCATCTATCTTGATTTCTCACGTGGGAAAGTTTTATCACTATCATGAGTGTTAAAAAAACGTTGACAGATAATAGTGACACTGGTACTTCTTTGAGAATTTTGTATCTTGTTTGATTACGACACTACTGTACCCAGATATAAAGTCCTTGTATTGTGAGTTGAAAGTTTTTTAATAGTTGATGGTATGCCAACTTGTTGGCACACCATCATGTCACAGTTTTACAAGGCAACAGGGCTGATGATAGACACATCACGCAAATTCAATTACTCAACCATAATCACTTCATCATAAACAGTAGGTGAAGTTTTCCACAAGGAAAAGAAATCATTACTAGCTTGTGTTCTTTTTTTAAAGAATACAAATCAGTATAAAATACCTAGCATTGGTAAGATAAAAATAGATTATCAAAGAGTAGAAAGCACTATTGTGATAAGAAGAATACATATTTGTAATAACCACTGCACTTGTTTAGAGATAAGTCTCTACTTTATCTATATAAATTTATCATTATTTTTATCTATTTCTGAACTGTTATGTGCAGTATTTATTAGTACTCTACAGTTAAAATGGTTTTAAAAGTTTCTTTTAAATAAAAACATGACTTATTGCACACTGACTTTGAGAGCAAATCAGATTTCAGATACTTTTTTAAGCATTTTACATTTCCATTCAAAGGATGTCACGATGCAAAGAAAATCTAGGTGTCTAAAATTTTATCCACTTTTATATTTCACTTATCGGGTGGATCGCATCAGAAATGAGGTGATCCGGCAGAGAACTAAGGTCACCGACATAGCGCACCGGATCAGCAAGCTGAAGTGGCAGTGGGCTGGCCATATTAGCCGCAGAACCGATAACCGTTGGGGAAAACGAGTTCTTGAGTGGAGACCGCGTCTCGGCAAACGTAGTGTAGGACGCCCACAGGCCAGGTGGAGTGACGATTTGCGCAAGATGGCTGGCAGGAGCTGGATGCGAGAAGCCCAAAATCGATCTAAGTGGCGTGCAATGGGAGAGGCCTATGTCCAGCAGTGGACTGCGATAGGCTGATGATGATGATGATGATTTAAACTGAGGTGGGATTTATGCTTGCACATGTTGCTCACTTTACACTATCTATCACATAGGAAAAAAGAAAGGTAATTCGTCATGTTAATAGCAAATGTAAGACACAATTGCAAAAATGTTGGCGTGGAAAGTCAAAATCTAGTTTCTGCACTTGAGCGAACAAGAAGGCCCACATAAATGTGTGCATATACTGTGCAGGTATTTGCTGAATTTATATCTGAATGACTCTCTGTAAATATGTTAGCGATTTCACTACGAAACTACTATTTTTAGTCTATATTACTAGCAGGCATTTAGGAAATACAAACATTTGTTCTCTGTCTGGGTGTAATTTTTCTAAAATATGTATCTATTTAAAAATATTTAAGTATGTTTATCAGCAGTCTGGTTACCATAGTACAGGCTCTGACTAGTTTGGGATCAGACATCTGTGTGTGAGATGTGCGAGATATATTATTATATTATTTATAGACATTTCAGAAATTTGTCATTACAGAAAGGTCCATATTAGAATAATAAACAAGAAGGAACAGAATATTACTTCTTTTCTATATTGTAGCAAATGTAGAGATAATCTTATTTACATTAATTATAAATTTAATTTAATCATAATACAATTTTATTATATGATTTATATGCCTGTTATATGAAAGGGATTTAATCTGTAGAGATCGATCTGACATAGAACAAAGGACTTCCTTTTTAAATGAGTTAATTGTGAAATTAGATTCAAAAATTATGTTTAATAAGATGATGTGAATTAAGAATACATATTTAGTTATTAATTTATGACAGTAAATAGCTTTTGTATCCTTTCTACACACATTCTAGTATTAAAAAGTTTGTAAAATAAGGGAATGTGCAATTTGAGTTTTCATGTAGAATATTTTATGTATAATTATGTATTATAAGTTCAAATATTATGTGAAAACAAGAAACAAGAAGAAACCATAGCTTTGTATAGTAAAGTATACATAAATCTTGACCTGCCATGATAGGGAAAATTTATACAATGACAGTTTATTCTATAAACAAAACACAAAACTTATTAAATTATGGTCAAAATTGCCACCAGGTTATCCTTTAGGATCCAGAAAATTTACTTTACTACACTACAGGCAAAACTACTTATACATAAACTTACCAGAGAGTCCTGTGATCCAGTCAAGAGCAATCCATCATGGAATGGAGAGAACTCCATATCAGTTATTGTATCAGTGTGTGCATGTAACAAAGGCATTGTCTTACTCTTCCTACCACAATCATCCAACGGTAACACAGCCATGCTGGACCCGACATGCTCCCAGTTAAAGGCCATGAAGGCACCCGATGCACATATATTATTTCCATAAGTCTGATATGATCCAACACAGATATCTCTTATGCAGGCCTCAGGCTTAGGCACAATCGGTGCCGCATTTTTATATTTAGAGGCTTTGAAGCGCCAAGCCATGATTATCCACTTTTTAAAAAGTTTCTCAGTCTTATAAATTCGGAATGTATCAGACTTTAAGGAGGTGTCTTTCCTGAAACAATTTTTTTATTAGGTTTTATTTTTGTTATACTAACCACTTTTGATACAGTTTCTGACCCACATTGCTCGAGTTTAACTCATAACAAACACTACACATACGTTAATTGCATTTCTAATTAGAAAAATTGGGCTACCTATAGTTACATTTTGAGGTCTTGTATGAATTAAATGTGACAGAAATGTTGACCATAAAAAGTTTAGTTGTGACTAGTATACTTAAATAATAATTAAATCATAGAACACTATATAGGAAAGTACCATAAATGAAAAACACAATATACCGTGAAAACACCTTTTGTTTTGAATAACTCGCCCGGCTGTCGCACCGGAAACGCAGTGTACGAACAATGAGACTGGACACTAATACCCGTTTATGTTTTATTTGATTTATGTTATCGTTATATTTACGATTTATAATTAATTACTTACCTTATCGGTTAATAATTAGGTACTAAGAATTACAATTTCCGCTAGACACTCCCCCTAAACGTCGGCCATTTCAAAGCGACATTAGTGTAGTGGATCGATAAAATAATATAAACAATGTAGTCGATATCAACGATGACATGACATCCCAATCGATATGTAGTAGTTCGATTCTTCACAAACAAATTACTTTTTCGCTCAAAACACTCATTTCACGATTACAATATTTATCTATTAATGAATTATATTTTAAATTAGCAAATACTTTTGCTTAAATTAATTTTAGAGACTTGTAAATATATTTCTTTTCTGCTCTTACACTCCATTATACGCAATATATGAAATAATAGCTGATGTTCGGAAAGAAAAGAATTCCCAAGTTATCATAATAAACAGTAGTATGAGGTAAAGTCAGCTACAGCCGGTCATGAAGGTGTTTAGTAGCTTTTGTAATGTTGTTTCTTTCTGATCACATTTTAAATTTCGTCCCATTCTCCTCTGATCATTAAAAAAACACCGAATAAATTGGAGGTATGTATGCGAATGTGAATTTAATCATTCGCTTTTATTTTGATGACAAAGTTTTACCTTAGCTGGTGAAAATGAAAGTTTTCCCAACATTTACCCTTGTCACAACTAACTACGATCCTTAGAACGAAGGATCCTCCCTTTTGTGTTGAAGAGCTCGTTTCTCTGGTTTATTAAGCTTTACGTCTTGATAATTACAAGAATCATTATAAAAGTTTGATGTAATACGATATCTATGATATTAAACCTAAATATCTCTTACATCCACTAAAGGTAAATTCTGTGTGAAGACCATTGAACCCGAAAACAAGGGTAGTACTTTAGTTTCAAATCAAATAGTAATTTATTTGTTTAAACACGTGTTTACATAAGCAATGAGTATACAAGGTATTCACAATTAAATTCGTTCCAACGTGTTTAGACGTTTCTATTACGGCGTAAAAATAATCTTCACTAACTTATATCTCCCTCATAACTTCCGTTCGCTTCGCTCGGTCACACTTTTCGTAACGCTCCCGTCACGCATTCACCAGCTTACTCCCCTACTTTTACTTTAAAAATTGATGTTTTAAAGTTAAAAATACGTAAATAATATTTGTTAAAAAAGAAATTACATATTTATATCATATTATTTATATTTATTTTACTGAATATAATCTACCAAAAATCTGTAACACTATAGTATGCCTTTTGTATAAGAAAGTCTTTACAGAGATTTTTGAATGCGATATTACTCAACCTCTATCAGTCTTTAGGCAATTTATAAAAAAAATTGAGCTATGCCGATGACACTTTTACGCATAAAAACCGTTGTAGACTTGTGCAAATAGAGTCTTATCAATTGTTCTTTTTCCTAATCCTGATCAACGTTGAATATTTTAAAAAAGTACCCTCATAATGTCATAATCATGAGAGTATTTTGTTTTCCTTATTTAATACATGAGCTTGAAATAAGGAAGATTGATTTCTTTCTTAAGTTACCAGATTTAAGAAAGAAAATTCATGTTGTCATTCTTTTAAACGTTGAATAAATAACATCTTTGTTTATTTTTCTAACTTGTTAAGGCATGTTTGGCAACTCTGGGTCTATCAATAATCAAGTCAAGTCGTTATAAATAGTAATTTACAACGAAATTAAGGACTTAAGTTACCTACTAGTGAATATACTTAACAATTTCAGTCTTTTTTTTTAATGTTAGGTGTTCTTTACTATTTATTTGGACGATGGAAGCATGTCTACTTACCATGCTTAGGGCATACAACACCTAATGGAACTTTTAGCGAATTACGCACTTCGGAGCTCCAACTGATACAGTCTGAGAGTTCGTTATTTTGACAATCGACACTGAAAACTCGAAAATCTGCACATTTTTTGTCCCTTTTGTAACAAGTTTTTTCTTTTATATATTTTTACCCACCTCATACACAGCCGTCTGCTCCCTAACTAGCCAGTATCTGTGTGGTAACCACATTGCTGATAAAAATACATATATGACCATTTCTTAGCGTTCCATTCACCGTGCGGGTGCCGGGTCCATCGCGTGACATATAGGGACAACACATGCGACTTCGACAGGGCCCGGGTATTGCCGGTATCTATTACCCAGGAGTAGATTTAGGGAGTACTTCTTGTGACGCGTCAGCGCTCACCTCTCTGCTGTGTTACCCCCTCTACCTAACCATGTTTGATACGATACCACTCTAGGCGTGGAGCCTGATGTAGTTTCTCAAAATAAAACAAGACATATTGTATCCAAAGTGATCATTTATTATAATCTGAGTATTACAATAATACAATTTCTTTGGTGAGGATTAATTTTATTATAATATTCAATGTTTAATAGGGAACAATATTATTGAAATATATATTTCAGATCCGATAATAGCGCAACCAACGACAAACATTAAACTTCACTAATAAACATTGCAAAACATCCCGCGTTGAAACGATGCATGGTAGCGATTCTCTTACAACAATTGCAAACATAGCAAGATATAAGTAAGACAAGACGAGAATTTAGTCGAACTCTTATAGAGACAAGAGTTATTTAGTCGAATTCGCAATAGAAAGTTCAGACTATTAACTAAACAACAAACTATTTATTAAGATTTACTCTACATTAAAATGTTATCGTCCCATCTTTAACTAAATTTAAATGTAATATAATATTCAAACAGGGATAATTAGTGATTTACGAAAATTACAAGAATAAGACTGTTTTATTTGAAGTTTGTGTTTTCCCTCCTTAATACATAGGATGTAAAAGAGATGTGTCGCTAGCAATATTGGTATGACTAAATACCATGCTACTATTTTACTCTCAATATCGTTTCCAGGTGTAATAGTATTTTGTTCCACCATACCTAACACAGGTGATCCAAATTAAACAACAAACTATATTTGCCACAATAGTGCAAAATTTAGCAACCCATAAAATTAGTACGTTAATACTCTTAAAACTAGTAAAGCATGGATTAATATTGGGTTATTATGCCACCAAATAAGTGGTTACATAAAGTTTTAAAAGAGAAGTGTAAGAAAGTTAAACTGATTATATTTAAAAATGAAATGCTTTATTAAAATGTTACATCATTTGTTAATATTTTGCTGTCGTTTTAAACACAAATATATTTTACTTTAAAAGGTTTGTTTAAAATTCGTTGACTTTTTTGGTAAAGTACATGGCATCAACAAGGCAAGTCCGGCCGAACCAAATAAATATGATTGCACTACTTTAAGAACACTAGAAAACATTTAACTAGGTATATACATATCAAAACCACTTTAAAAAAAATTACATCAATGTGCACATACATACATATGGTGTGATGTTTCTGTAAATAATAATATTATAACATGTAAAATTTCAAATAGGCACCTTATAATTAAAACGTAGGTAATAAATACAATTTAACTTTGTGTAAAATTAACAATTTACTAAAACACTATCATGTAGTTTGTAAAACAGTAAAACACGATTATTATTCACAATTATTATACATCTGAATATAGTAATCAAAGTAATCAAAAAAATATTTTATACATTTACTGCATATATGTATAAATCTGTCACACTTGACACTTAATGTCAGGTAAATCTGTAGTACATCTCCGTTACGGCGATAGGAATGTGTATTTTCAAAGAATTGTTATTAAGATTGAAAGATGATGATGATAAGAATTATTAAAATGATTTTAATGTCAATGCTTTTTTTATTACTATTACTAAACGGCAAAGTTATCTTAAAAGTACTAATTAAAATTAATGATTGAATTTCTACATAGTGGTATGTACGATTTTACGTCTGATAAATGCAGAATTCGTAAATTACTCAACTTCTTGTATGTTAAAAAATGACAAGGAATGCATAAATAGTGTGCAGCAATTATAGCTTAATAAATGTCTTGAATACTTAATTTCGTATAAAACAAAAACACATTTTATAACTGAGTATTAACAGAAGTCACCCGTTGTGTTAAGTCAGTCATTCTTCTCTCAGTCAACACCCAAAGTAAACTCTTAGATTGTCACAGTTATACGAAAGACCCAAAATGGCGATACCGTCATTATCTGTCTCGTCCGGACCAACACAACCATTTTTTTTATTATGACACATTACTTATCTATTATTACACACACAAGCATATTTATTTGAACTTTTTTATGTTAGTGAAAAGTTAGTTTATATCCGCTGTCATTAGAATCGTACTGATAGAGATCACCATGGCAAAGTAATGTTCTTACTTGCAGATGTCACTTGCTGCACCAAAGAACGTCTCTTGGTCACCTTATATTGTAAATGTATTCTTGAAAACACTAAACGATTTCGACAGCACTGTCAAAGAGGTTCCACTAAATAGTCGATATTATAACAGTCTACTTTTTAATTCCTGTGTTGATTCATTCACTACAAATTGTAACATTAGTGTATACTAGATTCTATCAATTTGTCTACAAAATAGTATTTCAGTAAGATTAAACTACAATCCTAATTAAATATATTCACCTCAAATATTATGTAATAATGTTTTAAAGCTGTAATACTTGCAATAAAATCATATGTACAAGATAATACAATGAAATAAAATTTTGCATATTACAACAACAAAAAAAAAAACAAACTAAATGCTAGGACAACAATATTACATAACATTTGAAATTTAATATAACTAATGATAACAACAAAACTGCAACCAGCATAATTGTATAACTTGGTTATGTTGGCACAATGTCATGGGTGACAGGTTAAAAAACTTGTCATTTTCGTCACAGTGAAGAATATCAATGAACGTCACATACAAAACTGTTAATGATTGACTGATAATTGTCTATTGGTGGTTATCGGGACATCTCTATTGGATACCTTATTCTTTGCTTTTTTTTTATTTGTGTGTACGCCTGTTCTTTGTGATTATGCTTTATACTCGTAGATTTCTAATTGTACATGGATTGTGGGTATATACATCGAAATGGGTAAACCCATGATTGGTCTCACTTTAATACTATAAATACAATTGATAAATACATGATATGCAATACAATGGTACCGCAAGGTACACTATATCTACGAATTGACATGAGAGATGAATAACAATGACAAGCCATGACATTGTGGCAACGACACAGCATTTAAAAGCGAGTGGAATTACTTCCGCACTACTTAATACAATGTTCAAGTGTTGCGATGTTCTCAGATAGATGTAAAACAAGAAATACCTTTATAAAAAGTATAATCGACTTCAATGTACTACATCACTGTATACTGAATTGTAATAAGTCCTATTCTTCATTCTTTAATTTGAAACCCTTCAGGGTGGTATATATTTATACCTTAAATTCCAATACCTCAAACGAGAGGTATTCCCTCTCAAATAAAAGAAGGATTTTCCAAGTCGGTTTCTGAATGATGGAGGTTCTGAGCTAACAAACAATAAAAAAATACAACCAAATTTAGAACCTGTTTTTTTGTCGTCGATTAAAATATAATCAACATAATCAGTCGATTATTTTCTTGGCAAGATAAATAGTAGGTATACCAAAATGTAAAAAAAATAATGAAATTGAAATGTATCGTTGTCAAAGCTTTCTTTAGCGTGGACCTGTTGGTGTTATATCAAATCTTTATACACATTACCGAACCAGTCGATTATTCATTTTGTCACCACTCTAGTTGCAACCATTTTATAACAATATACACTCCTTCAAAAGCCTAAAAATCGACTAATTTAAATAACTTAAAAACAATTATCATCCAAGAACACCTCAACTTTTGTAGGTACCTACAACCATTTTTCGCGCGATTTCTCAAGATCTCACGATATGCAGTCGGTATTCGGACACTACTAAGTATTTTATATCAATGAAATAAATTCGTTTACTTTAAGAACGTAGACAACAGGAGCTATCACCGACTGAAGTCGTCTTACCGTTGATCGGTCCTAAGCTGCCATCGTACTTAGGTAGCTCCTTGCACTTGGCTTGCTGAAATAGAACAAAAAACGTTTTACATCTATACATGATTTTTACTACATGTATTATTTCTAGGAGTGAAGTATACTTCCACAAAACAGAATACAAAACAGACCGCATAGATAACCGAGGCCGGTGACTCATCTTGAAGCACTTTAAGCTTGAGCCCGCGGCCGGGGCAAGTGTTGATATTAGAAGAACTATAAGGATTCGAGTACTAAACATAATTTAATACATAAAAATATGTATTATTTACATTTGTATTAGGATATTCTAGAAATAGTTAAGATGGTCATTAATTTTAAATACTTAATAATCCATTTATATATAATGTATAAAAAAGCTAGGTTGGTTTGTTTGCGCTCCAAAAACTTAAAAAGTTCTGCACCGATTGAGCTAGAATTTTGACATGATATTCAAACCGGTCAGTTTTGTTGCTCATCAATGAAACCACAATGTCAAACTGCGAAGCGTGACGGGATACAGTATAATATGTATGTGTGTATGTAAACCAATAATATATTTTTTTATCGATTCCATTCTGTAAAACAAATTCCACAGCACACTTTATCCGGGTACTAACACTCAACCAATAAATCATTCTTCAAGCTTACCTCCATAAGTTCAACGGCGATCTCCATAAATAATCGTTCGACATTCTCCGCCTCCTTCGCTGACGTTTCAAGGAAGTACATGCCATGGCGTTGCGCAAAATCTTCTCCGATATGCCTAGGTATCTCTCGATCTTCTCTATCTGTTTTATTACCTGCAATTCGGAATTATTCGTTTTTTAATAGAATTCATTAAAGCAATTTGTCATTAAATTCTCTCTGTAAAGTTAAGATCATCTGTTGGAGTAGTTTCGTGAATGATAACGTGGGAAAGCTATGCTGTGGTACAAATAGGCCATCTCAACATGTGATACCACGGCCTCACAGGAAACGCAAGCCCTACTTACTTACTATTCCTCCCCTGATTCTGGAAGGTGGGAGTCAAAAGGCGGAAACACACCGACTTGAGTTCCTAGTGTTCATGGTAATGTTTGCGGTAATCATTAACTATCAGGTGACGCGTCTTCTCGTTTGCCACATCTATACTAATATTATAAAGCTGAAGAGTTTGTTTGTTTGTTTGAACGCGCTAATCTCAGGAACTACTGGTCCGATTTGAAAAATTCTTTCAGTGTTAGATAGCCCATTTATCGAGGAAGGCTATAGGCTATATATCATCATGCTAAGACCAATAGGAGCAGAGCACCAATGAAGAATGTTTCAAAAACGGAGAAAATTTATTACTATTGAGAGACGCAGACGAAGTTGCGCGGGTCAGCTAGTTTGTGATAAAAAGTGTGAAACAGGAAGACGTTTTGACCAATGAGATCGCACAGACTTAAATCTATATCTATAAAAAAAGAAATTTACAGACTGATTCACTGACTGACCGATCAACGCACAGCTAAAACAACTAGGTCTAGAAGCATGAAATTTTGTGCACTAAGAAAGGATTTTCAAAATGCCACCCCTAAGGGTGCAAAATGGGGGTTGGAAATTTATTTGAAATTATGTTATTTTTGATAGTAGTGTTTTCAAATTCGCAGTAAATACGCTTTATTAAAAGTAATAAAAAACTTAGTTACTAATTTTTTAGAAAAAATGCTACTACCCTTGGGGTGCAAGTTTGTATGGAGAACTCTTTTTTTTTTAATTTATCGATTCCAGATCCAGATTCCAGTCTCAGTATAATTATACTCTCTATTAATAATTATAATTAGACATATTTTTTAACTAAACTACCATACCAAGCATACCAGACATACATGGCTACCCCAATAATATTTATATGGGCAATAAAGTGACACTTCTCGAGGTATCATATAATGAAGACACGTTATGTTAATGTAAGAAACATATAAGCTATAATAATAATGAATAATAAGATATAATAATAATATGTCATATATTATTATTATATCTTATTATTTATTCGCTCGCAGTATACATAGTTGACCGAGAAAAGCATTTCAAATTTCGAGACGAGTCACGAATACGTGCACTATTTAAAGTGATATTAATATCGATTTACATCGCTAGTAAAAGCTTGTAAGTATGTAGTTAGTATAGATATGGTTTAATATTATTACTAATTAATCGAGTAAAGTCTCGCACAAACTCTTATCTTGTATCTTATCTTGTCTGGACATCTAAATCTGTAATATTTCTGGAAAAACATAAATTGGCAATTGTCTAGCGTTAAGCATGATTGTTTGTATATTTTCAGTGTATTTTTATTATTAAAACAACAACATATAATCGTTAAATCCTCGATGGTCTTGTTTACTTCCATACTTTTATTATAAACCAGTTTTTGTCCGCGGATGCAATCGCGTAAATATCAGTACTCGCGTTAAAAAAACCTAGCCTATGTCTTTCCTCAAGAATCAAAGTATCTTCATATCAAATTTCATCTAAATCGGCTGATCGGATTAGGTGTGAAGATGTAACAAACAGACAGACACACTTTCGAATTTATAATATTATATAGTAAATATAGTAGTAATATTTTTAAGTAATATTTTATTTTTAAGCTTTTTAAAGCATTTTTCCAGTCTTTCTACTCGAGCAGCCTATGGGTAAGGTATACGCGGCAACGGTGGCATGTCGGACTCGAACCGACTAAAACCGCACGCTGCCTCGGGTAGTAATAACCGGGGAACCATGTATACCCTAGAAAGGAAGTTCCAGGTGCCCCGACATACCTCGGGCCATCTACAGACGAGTAGACGACCCCCCCCCCCCGTGTGGGAACCCCATGTTCCCTCTGCTCCCTGGAAGCGAGCGCGCTTCGCAACGCGCTCGCCGCCACCCCGGCCTGCTTCTGCTAGGGTGACAGATGGCCTCACCTGTCACCCCCAGGCCAGCGCTTATGCTGGACGGAGGTCGTTCTGCGACCTCCGGCGCCTGAGTCGCCTGCGGTACCTAGCCCGTTCCCAGGCCTGGCAGGCCGGGAGAGTTCTAAACCTCTCCCGGTCCCGCTCCGCCGTCTCCTTCGCGAGCATAACTTGCTCGCAGAAGGAGACGGCAGAGTTCCACGCACTCTCGCTCCGCACGATAGCCGCAATCAGGCTATCGAGCGATCCTACGATACCCTGCGTATTCAGTATAACAATACTTTCAGTGTTGTTGGGGCTGCCGCGACGCTGTAGCGCCTCCGGAATGTATTGCCGAAATGCAAACTGACGTCTACGTAGCGTCTACGGAACAACAACAACACCATTCTGAAAGTCATTGCTTTTGCTGTATTTTAACTAGTTTATCCCCGTCCACCGTGGTGTCTATTAGGCGTGTTATAGACACGGTGAAATATCGAGCATAATTGTGTATGTATGTAAATTAGATATTGTGTATGTAAATTAGAATACAGAGTACCACTACCCCTATTCATTCCGTGGGTGTTGTAAGAGCCGACTAAGGGAGCAAACTACGCACGACGACAACAGCACTGCAAAGAGAAGGGAAAACTTGAAACAAACCCTATACCAACCCGTCTGGCCAGCGTGGTATAGTAGGCCAAAACCTCCTTTCTAAAGAGAGGCCTATGTCTAGCAGTGGACTATTAAAGGCTGTTGATGATGATGATGACTTGTGTATAATACTACTACTAATTCGTTACACCTAATGGAGTTCGTATCACATCAGGGATGCGGCATCGAAATACCGATAAGTATTCAATCCCGCAAAGGACATGAACCGTCTGTAAGGTTTTTCTGTTATACCTCCAGAACCAAAGCTGTGGCCCATCACGGCCTAAGTAAAATTCATCAGTTACGATACAATACCTGTAAATTATTATTAAAAAACAAAATCGATTCAAGGAGAATTAAATTACTGATCCAAGTGTGCATAGATACCATAAAAGACTTCAAATTTACATCATAAACTATTATAATAAACTGTATTCTTCCCTACTTAATTTTCAAAGTTTAGAGGTTATATGTTTTCTTCAAATTTGATTGGATAAATAAAAATAATTTTCTATATCAATTAATAAATGGCAGAGTTCTAAAGCGACAAAGGTAAAAAAAAATATAATCAAATTGACAACCTCCTTTCTTCGAAGTCGGTTAAGAAAAATATTATTGAACTACTAGGCTCTTGTCAATCAACTACTTATAAAATATTGGAATAGGGGTTAAATGAATCACTCGGCCTGCAAGTGTGTTTTATAAGGTCAAGTACAATAAATTAAATGACATTACGAAACTTTGTCGTATTGTCTGTTACGGCAAAGTTTCTCTTTCATTTTATTAACTACTTCCTACTTTCATTCCATTGAGGATATAAGTAATTGTTTATTTCAATTACAAGAGCGGTGACATGGCGACATATTTGTTACTAGCTGACCCGCGCAACTTCGTCTGCGTCTCTCAATAGTAATAAATTTTCTCCGTTTTTGAAACATTCTTCATTGGTGCTCCGCTCCTATTGGTCTTAGCGTGATGATATATAGCCTATAGCCTTCCTCGATAAATGGGCTATCTAACACTGAAAGAATTTAACAAACAAACAAACAAACTCTTCAGCTTTATAATATTAGTATAGATTTACTTTCGGTCGTTATTTCGCCCGCTGACCTTTCCTACTTCATAAGAAATGTACACGTGAATATGTTAGTTATTCGAATAAGTAAAAAAAAAATAAGATAGAAATGGTTGATGATATGATGGCCTCGGGATAGACCACAGGCCGTGGTCATGAGTAAACAAACTAATTAATTAAAATTATATATTTTGAACAGTGAAAGTTTACAATCTATTATAAATAGCTTATTAAGCCGCAAAAAGTATTGCAAAAGTTCATTGGTCTCAAGAATATTCTAGTATTATAGTTGAGTATCACATACTATTGCAAGCTATTGTTCTGTTACGTTCCCGACTAATTAAGAAACTTTATTTACACAAAGCCTTATTTCTAGTTTAGCAGGTAAACAGAGTTTTTTGCTAATATTATCATGATTTATGTGCCTACTATATAAATACTGTACTGAATATGTGTGATTTAAAATAATATAATAATCCATGGTAAAATAATCTTTATTGTAACAATAATTGAATTACAAAAATTATACAGCCCTGATTCCCAAACTAGTGCGAGCTATGTGAAGGCAAGTATTAATTAAAAAAGATTAAATATTATTGATGTGTTATATCTCTAAAGGAGTGAATTTGTTAAAAGGGACGGCTGCGGACGGCAGTGTCACGGTACAATTATAATACAGTAGAGTAACTCGGCCGCATGATAGAAATAAATGCCTACAGCCGCGCGGTACGTAAACATGCGTTAGGGCTGCCCGTCTCCAGCATTTTAATTATATTTGCCTACTTTATGTTTCTATTTAGATTTGTGATTGTAAATATCCTTTTTATATAAATAAATGAAATACTTTGTATATTGGATAGGAAGTGTTCAATAAAAATGCGTGTTGTTTTTTGATTGGTAGATTTAATTAAAAAAACATGTTTTTGTTTAAAAAACAAATCGGGCTTATAAATTTGCGACCGAAAAATATTTGCGCCTCAATATTTCCTCCATTTTTTCTATATATTAAACAAAATCATCGTTGGGTACAATCAAAAAAGTTCGCGAATTAATCTTACTGTAGTCCCGGTACCGTATCATGATTCATTCAGAACCGTATATAACTACCTATTTCACTCGTCTCAATAACTTTCCGTTACTCTATTCGCTTTATTTATTAATCCAAACACCTTTTTTTCGTGAGATAAAAGGAAATACTTATCCATTAAAAAGACACACATTATGTACCTACCTACTAGTAAGTAAAATTATTTTATAGTCTTACCTTTCAGAGTTTCCAGGTAATTTAAAAAAACTTATGTCTGGATGCGTTATTGACGAATTCATTCAACCAAAAACAGCACAATATTTCCTACTCGTCATATTAACTGTTTTTGAGAGAAAAAATCGCGCGGTTATTGTTAAAAAAACAACACACAGTCCGTTCGACACTGCGGTACAGCCGTGACTGTCTGCGCCCCGAGCGCACCCCGAGAGTTTCGTCCGTTTGTATGAAGTTGGAGTACTGTATTATAATAGTACCGTGGCAGTGTGTCCAAAGGGCGCGCTTTTTGATTGCTCCATCGTTTTTAGGGTTCCATACCTCAAAAGGTAAAACCCCTTATAAGATCACTCTCTTATCCGTCTGTCTATCCGTGTATCACCACCGATTTTCTCAGGAACGGGTGGACCTAGCAAGTTGAAATTTATACCATATACTGAGGTCTATGGTCTCTATTAGGTGTATTAAAATCAAGGTCCTGAGTCAACACGATAAATGATATGGGCAAATTTAGAGTTTGGCAAAAACTTGTAAGTACCAAAATTTACCTTAATTGTCCACTTTTATTTTTCAACGCAAACGCTGACTATACTTTACGAGATAGATCAAAATAATGTACTACGGAATTGTACATGTTAAAAACATCTACAAAAAAGTCCGCGATGATATATGTCTATCTCTAAGGATAACCCACAGTAACCATTTTTGCCATTTAAATATTACCAAAGAAAAGGGTTACTTACGGAAGCTATTTTAAACAATGCATTATTATTCCTTATCCAATTAAATACGTTAGATACGTTGTGCATTTAATATAGATTAAAATTGCTCTGTACAGCATATCATTAAAATGATATTTTAGAAGTTATTAGAGGTTTAAATAGCGGGAGCCAAACGACCGTCGAGCCGTATATCCGTCCCGGGTGGCAGCGGGCCTATAAATATTGATAGTATGTATAGTCATATCATAATAATAGTATAATTAATTACTCCATACTGACACCACATTAGTTGTATCTACATTTTACCTGCGCGAAGCCAGGACGGATGCTAGTATGGTATAAAATATAGTCGTTTTTTTTCTTGTACGCTTAGGGCTTTTAAACTAAGCAACGGAATTTAATGCGGTTTTCACCAATAGAGACAGTGATTCAAGATAAAAGTTTAAATGTGTAATAAATGCATATTATAGTAGAGAAAAGCCGAGAATTTCAAAGATTTGTTTTAAAAAACATGGTTTTGTGCGCTTACATTGCAAACGCTGGCTGATCCTTACGAGATAGATTAAAATAATATACTATGGAATTGTATATCTTAAAAAGATCTATTAAAAAGTGCTCAATGGCATATGTTCTCCTTAGGATAACCTACAGTAACTATTTTTATCTTTTATATTTTACAAATAATATATTGTTGTTTAAACAAATAATGCATTGTTTAAAATATGTATATTTTAGATACGTCGTGCATTTAATGTAGATTAAAATTACTCTTTGCAGCATACCATTAAAATGAATATTTTAGAAGATATTAGAGGTTTAAAATGCGGGGGGGTAAAGGGGCTGTCACCGCATCGGGCCGTACGTCCGTCGCGGGTAGCAGCGGCCGCAGGATCGGAGCGGGCCTATTAATATTGCATATAAAGATGTCCTGTAGTATAGTCCTATCATAATAATTGTATGATTGACACCACATTAGTACTATTAGTAGTATCTATATTGCACCCGTGCAAATCCGGAGCGAATCGCTAGTTTATAAGTATGGATATATCTCATATCAAGACGTACACCAAATAAGAAGTGAATGGCAACTTTTTAGGGTCTCAAATGAGGTCATTCTTAAGCTTTTCATCTCATCAGATTTAAATCAGCATAAAATCTAAATAAAAATCTAAAATCCAGTGGGTACTGGTTGGCCAGACAGAGGTCTGCCCCAGCCTTTATACTACCTTTATAATATTATCTTTTGTTATGTTGTGGACGTGTTGTATTGTTGGTAAAACAACTAACTGCGGATGACTATCGCGAATCGTATACACGCGACCTACCGTTAATATATATTTTCCCCCAGAAATAGGTGATCCTGCTTGTATTGGCCAGGCAGGTTAAGACTGGCTTTAGACTTTTATTTTGCCTTTATATAATTGTTAATGATTAGCACTAATTTTAGGTGGAATATTATGTCCCCTGATTAGAAATGGATGACATAAACTTCTCAGCTGAGAAATAAAATTTTGCATTTTTCTACCAATGTCACTTTATATATTTATTTGAAAATTGTAGGTATGTACATTACATTTATAAGATGCTTGAGAGAAACCTAATTATATATCAATATTCTGTTTAGCTTTCTTAAATGAAAGAGTCCTAAAATGGTGGCATGATGGTTTCCATGCCTGGGCCTGAACCAGCAGACAAGTATGGTCACTAACTCTTAAGACTTTTTCCTAATTTTCTCTAAGCCTTAGTCTCACTGGTAATAGGTTTATATGTGGGGTTATTGGAAGGTTTTAATGAGTTCAATTCCAATAACACACAAGCAATGTTCATCAGGTGAAATCCAATGTACAGAAGGCAAGTGAGTAAGTTAAATGAAAAAACAAATTTCTTTTAATTTGTTTTGGAGTATAATAACCAATACAATGGATACACACATATATAAACACTAAATATGGTAAATATACACAAGCTATCACAATTCAGTTCTTAACTGAATTGTGATTGAACTTTTATTACAAGAATTAGCCTTTAGTAATTGCCAGTATGCGAATTACAAAATAACAATAAATGCATTCTTCTTAACTATGCTGACTGACTCTTGTCTGGTATGAGTATGGTATGGGTACTACTGCCATAAAGCTTCAGAAATAGGACATGGTACTCACCAACTAATATCCTTAGCACCTTATTGTTAGCATACTCCTCAATTTCTCTGAGCCAATCCGGCAAGCAATCAAAAGTTGGCTGACAGGATATATCATACACCAGGATAAGTGCATGAGCAGATCTATAGTAGCTCTGTGTTATCGAACGGAACCTTTCCTGACCAGCTGTATCCCATATTTGCAACTGCAAATAAACAATAATATGAACCTATATATCAATACATAGCAAAAGTATATAAATAGATAAAACAGTTGCTTAGAGATATCACCACTAATGGTTCGTAATTTTGATTAAATTCAAATAAAGAAGGATTTATAATTAAGTTCTCAGGATTTATAATCTGTGTTAGTTGTGGTCTTTTTTTTTAAGTACCTTAGTACTTAAAAAATTTTCATTTTTTTATTAATTTATCACAGATAAAGTTTGTTTACAGAAACACAAGAGTATATTTTACTACAGAAACCTTAATTCTATTATTTTTTTTATGTTTATATTGTTATTTTATAACACAATAATATGCAAGTACACAAAGTCCAAGAAGATAAATGGTATTATATTTGTTACATTTTCACATTCTTGTTAAACAATGCATGAATTGAAGATTTCTAAATTCATAACACTGCTCTTTTACTGGAGAATTTTTGATAAAACTAAAATAGTGATATAATTATTGCAAGAAAGCACGCAGTTTTAATTAATTAAATTATCATTATATTATTAAACTATCTTACAAAGAGTTATTTTTGTTTAGATAATTTTCATTTCATTTTTTTTGAGTTGTAATCTTAAAAAATAACCAGAAACAAAAACAAGCTATAAATAACAGAGAAGCCTAGATTAGTAATAGTTTTTCATATATTTTCTTAATTTATTTAATTATTTGAACAATAATTTTAAGATAATAGAACCAAGCATTTTCATGTAAAATTTAGACAATAATAAAATAATACATAATGGAATTAAGTGACGCAATAGTCTTTCCTTAAAAGTAGCTACGCTAAACAGGCTCACCTTCACTTTCTCACCATCCACTTCGACAGTCTTAATCATGAAATCAACACCGATTGTAGCACCTTGACCAGGTGGGAAGAGGCCTTGGGTAAAACGACGAACCAAACAAGTTTTCCCAACCCCCGCATTTCCAACTAACACTACTTTAAATAGAAACTTATAATCCTCCATTTCGAGCACCAAATTACATTTGAAAAAAAATATTTTCTTTATTTAATTTTCACCTCTCACTGTTACGGTTTGATGATCGCTATTACATTACGATAGATTACCAATATCGTATCAAAACGATTATTTTACGATCACATCAGACATTACAGATTAGATAGCGAAATCAGTTTGTCAAATCAATCTTTGATTCTATTCAAAACAATGGGAAAGAAAAACTGTGAACAAAAATATCGACGTCACGGTCGAGTAAAAAGAATAACTGATGTTTAAGGAGAACGATACGAAAATAAAACGAATGTTTATGGAGAGCGATACGAAAACTATTTTACTTAAATTGATTTGGCGGTACAATAGCTTTTTTTATTAATAAAATACTTAGTTTACTAATTACCGTTTTTCTTTAAATACTGTTATATTCTAAATGCTCTTTTTCTTTAGTTATTTGGAACAAGTTTTTAAAAACGCAATTTAGTCGATTAAATACTTAAATCAATTATTTAGTTAACATAAATATAAAAATTTAAAATACACTTTAAAAATAAAATTATAAATTTTAATACAAAATTACAGATATGACAAATCGCTAAAATTACTAGAGATATAAGTTGATATCTCGGACAGTCCTTTAAAAAGGGAACCATCATTGCTGAGTTTCAAGCCGCTTAAATTAACACAGTTTAGTTTTAAATAGAGTTTCTTCAACCTGTTCGTTAAAGGAATAACTTTTGCTGCTGATAACAAAGCTCCGCATGCCTCTTGCATTGCGGCCTCAGTCAGTTCTTCTATCTGTTTGGCGTTTACAATTGGATTACCACTGTTATGTCAATCCACAATTATTAAAAATGGTTAGGTAATAGCTCGACGCAGTTTTAAAGTAATCAGTTTCAGTCAGGATTGTTTCCATAGATAATCACTTGCTGCAACACATTGCTTGCCTATTCTTTTAACGGGTGCAATCAAGCTTGGCAATTGGTTAGTTTTCAATAGATTTGTGAGCCACTAATTTAAGAAAGTGGGCTAAAGAAATGACGAACTGTTTGCCAAACGCAAAATTAATAACTTTCACTACATTTTGTTGGATATTTTGATTATCTGTGGTATATAAGTGTTCTATCTTTACTATGGTAGTTGGTATTAAATAAAAGACATGGCGAACTTCAATAGTGTGTTAATTTTTGTTTAATGAGAAAACCCAAAAGCACGCTTCCACTGCGCAAAATAACAAGCGCACAATATTGGAAATATGTTGTAGTAATAATATTAAAGAAGAACGGTGCAAATGATTTGAAGATTATATTAAAATTCGTGAAAACAATTTACAACAATTTTTTCCTTCACAATAATGGAAAAATTGTACTTGCCTATTTTAAAAGAAGGCGACTCTTATGCCAATTGGAAGTTTAGGCTTATGATGTTACTTCAAGAAAAACAAGTGGAAAAAGTATTAGGGAGCGGATATGATTCAAAAGAAGATAAAGAGTTTGGTAAGAAAGATGCAACAGCAAAATGTGTCATAGTACAATGTCTGAGCGACAAATATTTAGAGATAATAAGAGGTTCTAAAACGGCTTCGGAGATGATAAAAGCCCTGGATGGTATGTTTGAAAGGAAAAGTGTCATGAGCAAAATGTATTTAAGAAGAAAACTTATTACTTTAAAATGTGCACCTGGCACAAAACTTCAAGATTTCTTTATGTGTTTTGATAATGTCGTTGCGGAGCTTGCTGGTGTGGGATCTACTGTAGAAGAGGAAGATAAGATATGCTATTTGTTAGCCGCTTTACCAATAGAATATGAAAGAGTGGTGACAGCGATAGAGATGTCGAGTGAAAAGATCAATATAGATTCAGTTAAAGCCAGATTGCTAGATGCGGAGATAAAATTGGCAACAAAAAGAGAACAGTCAGAAACACAAGAACAAGCTTTTAATTGTTATGTATGTGGCAAGCCGGGACACAAAGCTATTCAATGCAGGAGAAATTATAGATTTGGAGTACAGTCACAAGGATATGGAAATCAAAGACAAGGACAACACCAACGTGGTCAAGCTCGAGGAAGGTTATATGGACATGGTCAAAGATATAGAGGGCAAAGAGGTAGAAACAGAGAGCAGGCTGCGTGCATGGCCAGTGAAGATGATTTTATGAATAATGAGATGTTATTTACTGCGTTTCAGGTTACAAATAATGATGTCTTGTGTAACAATATTATTAGTAATAAAAATTATATTAAGTTCATTATAGATTCAGGTGCTACAGAAAATTTAATCAAGGATTGCTACAAACCTTTGATGTTTGATATAGAGAAGATACCAGAAACTAGAATTTATATAGCAAATGGTGAATACCTACTGTGTAATGAAAAAGGTAAGATTAGGGTTATTTATTCCAAGTTACAAGTAAAAGTTACAGTTCACTGCCTAATTGTTAAAAATCTTTCTTATAATATAATATCAGTAAGGCAATTATTATCTAGAGGAGCAGAGGTTAAATTTTGTGCTGATTTTGTATCAATATATTATCCAGGTAATAGGGTTGTAGAAGGTAGATTACAATCAAAATTATATACTATTGATTTTAAGTTATCTACTGAGGAATGTATGTTGAGCAAAGAGAAGGACATGACATTATGGCATAGAAGGCTAGGTCACTTAAATAGAAAAGGTTTGGGTTTATTAGGGTTACCAGCATCAAGTGAGAACTGTGATAGCTGTATGGAAGGAAAAAGTACGCGAAGAGCATTCCCTGTAGCTGAAAGGCATTCAAGAGAGATAGGTGATTTGATACATTCAGATGTATGTGGACCGATTGCAACTACAACTTCTCAGGGTGAAAAATATTTTCAGGTAATTATTGATGATTATTCCCATTTTGTAAAAGTAAAGTTATTAAAGTACAAAAATGAAGCTGAACAGAATTTGATAGATTACATTAAAGAGCTTAAGACACAGAAAGGGTATAAAACAAAAAAAACTTAGATTAGACAATGGAGGGGAATTTACTTCAAATTATTTCAAGAACTTTTGTCGTAATAAAGGAATAGTAATTCAGTATACTTCACCATATACTCCTATGCAAAATGGTTGTAGCGAGCGGATGAATAGGACGTTGGTAAATAGAGTGAGAACCAAGTTTCTTGAAACAAAATTACCAAAGCACTTATGGGGTGAAGCTATATATTGCTCAACGTATGAATTAAACAGATGCTCAAGTAGAGTATTAGAAAATAAAACCCCAGCTATGTTATGGTATGGTGCAAATGATTTAAGTAAATTAAGAGTATTTGGTGCAAGAGCATGGATGGTGCGTATACCGAAACTAAGTAAGCTTGAGGAGAGAGCAAAGTCAGTAGTTATGGTTGGTTATTCGCCTAATGGTTATAGATTATGGGACCCAGAAACCAATAAAGTATGTTGTTCTACTGATGTAAGGTTTGATGAGAGAAACATTAAGTTTAATAACACAAAAGATGAACATGAAAGAAGAGATAATGAAATTAGAATTTTTGATAGTGAAGGAAGTGTTGGAAAAGAAATAGTTGAGGATATAGTCAATGAACAGAGAGAGCCAGAGGAAGATTTAAACAAAGAAGAAGAAATGTATTTTGATCCAGATAATACTTTAGAGAATGAAGAAAATGTGCAAAAGTCAAGATTTGGAAGAGAAATAAAGAAACCAAAACATTTAGAGGATTATGAAATATATACAGCATATTGTTTGATAACTGAAGAAGTGCCAAAGACATATGAAGAAGCAAGTAAGGATGAAGAATGGAGGCAAGCTATAGATAAAGAGATAGATTCGTTAAAGAAACTAAATACATGGACAGTTACCAAAAACAAAGGATACAAGGCTATAGACACAAAATGGATATTTAATATTAAAGATAATGGTATTAAGAAAGCGAGATTAGTTGTGAAAGGATTCCAATTGCCTGAAAAATATTTTGAGACAAATTATGCGCCAGTAGCTAGGATGTCTACTGTAAGAGCATTTTTAGCACATTCTGTAGAAGAAAATTTACCTGTATACCAATTAGATGTACCTACAGCATTTTTAAATGGAATTTTAGAGTCGGAAATTTACATTAAAGTACCTGAAGGGATAAATATAAATGGAAATACAGTATTGAAGTTAAATAGGGGGTTATATGGATTAAAAGAAAGTCCTAAATGCTGGAATAAACAGTTTAATAAAATAATGATAGAAGAAGGTTTAAAAAGGTCAGGTTATGATTTTTGTTTATATGTGAATGATAACGCAAAGCTATTAGTATATGTTGATGATATTCTTTTGATGGGGAAAACAGAAGAAGTAGACAGAATCAAACAAGTATTAAGTGAGAAATTCAATACCAGAGACTTAGGTGAAATTAAGAGCTTTCTAGGAATGGAAATCGAAAAAATAGAAAATGGAATCAAGATAAAACAAACTAAACAAGTAGACAAAATACTTGAAAAATTCAATATGACAGAGTGCAATCCGTCAAATACACCTATGGAAGCAGGATTAAATGTTAATGAAAATGAAGAGATTATTGATGTTCCTTATAAAGAGTTGATAGGATCATTATTATTTATATCGTCCAATAGTAGACCAGATATAACATATGCTGTTTCATACTTAAGTAGATTTCTGGATAAACCAACAAAAAGTACTTGGAAGGCAGGAAAGCGAATATTACGTTATTTGAAAGGTACTAAAGACAAAGGTCTGGTATATGAAAGAAGCAAAGAACCTAAAGAGGTATTGACATATTCAGATGCGGACTGGGCCTCAGACAAACTAGACAGGAAAAGTACTAGTGGATGTACAGTATTCTATTGTTCAAAACTTATTTCTTGGTATTCAAAGAAACAGTTATCGGTAGCTTTATCAACCGCAGAGGCGGAATATTTAGCAGGGGCGTTAGCAGTTTGTGAAATAGTTAATTTGAAAGGTGTCATGTCTGAACTTACTTCAGTAAATATTCCTTGTAGACTTTTAATAGATAATCAAAGTACTTTAAAGCTGGTTGAGAGTTATGAGAATAGCAAAAGATCTAAACACATAGATATTAAGGCTCATTATATAAAAGATGTAATTAGTAAGAAAATTATTTCATTGTCTTATGTTCCTTCTAATAAGAATGTATCTGATATATTAACTAAAGCATTGTCAACTAACCAACATAGTTATTTAACTAGCAAAATGAATGTTATTTAAAAGTAATGTTTAGAAATAAGAATGTTATTGATAGGCAGGAAGAAAAAGTTTAATTTCAGTGTTAGTTTAATTTAAGTTGTGGAAGAAATAAGTTAATAGAATTTAAGTTTGGTTACATTAGTTTATTTGTAAACAATTTCAATTATGAAATTGAGCAGGGGTGTTGGATATTTTGATTATCTGTGGTATATAAGTGTTCTATCTTTACTATGGTAGTTGGTATTAAATAAAAGACATGGCGAACTTCAATAGTGTGTTAATTTTTGTTTAATGAGAAAACCCAAAACATTTGCTCCACCATCAGTCACCACTGCCAATACTTTATTTATATCTATTAGATATTTTTCGCAAGTTAGTAACAGCAACCCTTGCAACGTATTCAGCGGTATGCGATTCTGTTAACTCACACTCCCAATGTGGCTGATACCAGTCTCTTCATAAAAATGATAGATTTCGATGTGTGTGTCCGCGTCGAAATTTCGATTATGTGTCCGTGACATCGATTTTACGATGTTTTGTGTAATACAATAGCTATGTTAAAAAACAATGTCTTATCTTTTAATATCGATGATCATTGCGCATCTCTAGTTGTCAGTAAATGTCACTGTGAGACAAAAGTATATAGTTATCTGTGGTACAGTGCACTGTGTTTTGGTTTTCCTTGGTAGGAATTTATTCCACCGGCACCGATTCCATTCGTGTGCGTTAACATTTTGTATGAATTGTACTTACTAATTTATATAAAATGTCAAGCATAAATTATACGACGCGCACTGAGGGTCAGACGAAAATAAACACTATAATATGGACGGTTCCAAATTTCATATCGCTCTTGGACAACAAGGCAACCAGAGAATTTCGTACTGCAAAATCTGAAGACCCGACGGTAGATGCACTGGACTCACGCTTTCAGTTAAAAATGCAATTCTTGGGAAGAGACAACGACATCATAGAGATTTACTTTTTGTCTCCCAATCCAGTGTTTTTGAAGTCTATTTTAACAATATGTTTGAAGCGTTTCGAGGAGCGATCGATAGTTATTAAAGAATATCATACAGTTCAAGCGAATAAGTGGCAGTATTTGGCTACATTATTCAAACGAGACATTGCCAGTTATGATGGCAGAGACAATATATTCCTGCTAAGTGATGGTAGTCTAAGGTTGAAATTTCAATTTATGGTATCTAATGATATAAAAGTCGATCGTTCTAATGTACCTGAGGCCCAACTTAGTAACGATTTCGAAAACTTACTCAATAATGGGATATTTTCTGATGTGACAATGAAATCTGCAGAGCAAATAGAATACAAAGTACACAAAGCTGTTTTGGCTAGTAGAAGTGCTGTCTTGAAGGCTCATTTTGAACACAACACAACTGAATGCACAACTAACATTGTTGAGTCACCTCTGGAGTCTGAAGTGCTGAGGGATGTCCTTAACTTTATTTATACTGATAAAGCTCCAAGAGTTGATGAGATGCCTGAGAAGTTGCTAGCTGCTGCTGACTATTACCAGCTCAGCAGATTGAAAAGTTTATGTGAGGAAGCTCTCCATAAGAAATTGACAGTAGAAAATGCAATAGAAACTTTGCAATTGGCAGATCTACACTCTGCTACTGCTTTGAAACAGTTGACTTTGGAGTTTATAAAGGATGGCCAAGCAAAACTAATCACAAAAACTGAAGGATGGGCCAATGTCAAATCTGTAGAACTTATTAAGAGAATTTATGAATATATAATGGCTGATGATTACGATACCGAACTCAAACAATCACTGACATAGTCCGTTTCTTTATTATAAAAAGTATACATTCCATATTGACAGGCCTGTTGGTCTAGTGGTTAGTAACCCTGACTGCTAAGCCAGAGGTCATGGGTTAGATTCCCACCCAGGACAAATATTTGTGTGATGAGCATGATTGTTTGATCTGTGTCTGGGTGTAATTTATCTATAATATGTATGTATTTAGAAATATATAAGTATTTCTATCAGCAGTCTGTGGGTAGTACAGGCTCTGCCTAGTTTGAGTTTTAAACTGTAATATTGTTGTCCAATTATCTAGTCGGTGTTTTATAAAAATTGGAGCCAATAATACACAGAAAACAAAAACCTATCTGGTCACGTTTGCATGTGTGTACAAATAAAAAAAAAACACATTACATCAACAGCCTATAACAGTCCAATGCTGGATGTAGGCATCTCCTTAGAAAAGAGGTTTCGGCCTACTTAGGTTGGTAAAGGGTTTGTGATGTTTTACTTCTTTTAAAAAAAAAATTACACAATAAAATACAGTTGCATGTTAAAAGGCATATAATTATTTACATAATAAAACTGGATACAAATCAATTTTGTATTATGAATACATCATACTGCCAGCACCTTGTTTGAGGTTTGACTTAAAATAAAAGCAAGAATAATAGTCTACTAACAAAAGATGCAAGTAATTAAATTAGATAATGAATTTTTACTAACAAAAGATACAAGTCATTAAATTAGACATTGAATTTTTACTAACAAAAGGTATAAGTAAATTAAATCAGATAATTATTTTTTACTAACAAAAGATACAAGTAATTAAGTTAGACATTGATTTTTTTAAGCATTCACACTCTTAGAATGAAACTGATCTAACTAAAAACAATACTATTGGAAAAAAAGAGTTCAATTGAGTAAAAAATTAAAGACTACATCAGTTTTGTTGATTAAACATATTTATGTGTTTATCTTTTTTAAACCTTGTTCATTTCCTACAAATTTGCATTTTTAGTTAAGTCCCTTGAATCTGAGAGTGCACAATATTAATGAGAAAAAAACTTTATTGCATTTAGGTATTTCTAGGAATGTAGTGCTCAGCTTTTTAACAACTTATTCAACATGTAGGTACATAAATATTTAAAAAAAAGGTAAAATAAATTGCTTCAAAGAGTTTACATATGACATGTTAAATTAAAGCTTCTTCAGTAAATATATCTACAAATAATTTAGCTGTTGTTTGTTTATATAAAAATATATTTATCTTTCTTCATTTTTATCACTGTCCGAGTCATCACTATCACTATCACTGCTGTCATCGGTAATATATATAACTGCAGGTCTTTTATAATTCGTATTAACAAATAAATCGTCATCATTAGATTCATTAGTACTCACATTAGTATTAATCACATTAGTATCACTTTTTTCTACAGCCTCCTCAAATTCTGGAGGCCATACATGATTTTCTTTATAATTTTTTATTGAAGTCTTATTCAATATTTGAACTATTTCTCCTTTTACCTTCTTACCTTCTGCGATTGGTTCGATTAGAACATAACTACCATTCCTTGCAAATATTTTATTTCTGAATTTTACTGGCATAGACACCAGATATATTTCACCGCTTGGAGTAGTAACCTGAAAAAAAGGAAATTCTTTAAAATGTATGATTTTATATAGGGCTGTCAAAACCAGATATGATCGAGGGCCAATAAAAATGGCTAAATATATTGGAGATTAACAAAAACATATTTGAAGAGACTAAAATACACATATATTATTCTTTATTGATTTTCATATTTTTCAATAATCTATTTTTTATACAATTCTATCAATATTAGTTGTTTCTGTCTAAAAATGAAAAAGGGAACATATATTATAACATTTTCTTATTTAAAGCAGTTCGTGTTTTAATATATAGAATGTCTGAATATCAACTTTCAAGTTAATTTTCTGTAATATTTAAATTAAATTGAGAATAGCTTAGCATTAGGTCAGTATCATAAAATGTAATAATATTTTCTTGTTAATTTTTGAGGCACATAATTAAAAGCAAGAAATATGCTCAAGATACATAATTCTTTTATCCGGTAAAAGTAATTGTGAGATTATGCTTCTTTTAATTCAATGGCTCCATCGGTTATCTATGATTCTATCAACATAACGTCAAGGTGGTAGGTAGGTTGATTAGTTTATAGGTTGAAAAATAGTTTTAAGACAATGAGGGAATTGTTGTGATTTCAACAGTTTGTGGTTCTGTGGGAGTGGAGAAAAAAGTTTAATAATATGTTTATTGCGGGTTCGATTCCCACCAAGGATAAATAATTGTGTGATGAGCACTATGACTTGTTCTGTATCTGGGTGTAATTTATCTATAAGTCAGTCTGGTTACCATACAGGCTCTGCCTAGTTTGGAATCAGACGACGGATGTGTGAAATTTGTGAAATTATTATTATTAAAGTATCAGGAAACATTGTCAATTTATTTTGTTAATATGAATGGATTTGTAAAGAATCATGACAAACAATGTATATACTAGAGTTAGGAGATAAGCTAAATTAACAGGTTGGGATATTTGTTGAGGGAGAAGATCGTAGAGAGTCTAGGGCATTCGAAGAAAATATGTTCAAGAGTGCCTTCGTCGAGACCACACTCGCATAAAGTGTGTTCACAAACACGAATTTTGACAAGAAAAACTGGAGTACTGGCAAATCTTAATCGTTGACGAATTATTGTAGAGGTGTCAAACTTATTAACATGCTTTTGATTGAAGAACCAGGTTCTAGAAGAATTGAAGGACTGTAGAGAGCAATAAAATGCCCTTCATCATTCTACTGTTTTGCCTTGTATTATAATGTACCAATACTTGTAATAAAAGTTTAGCTAGGAAACGCAGACCTCGAGTGAAATAGAATTTGTGGGATGCGTATCCAGTTTGTGCTGCTACTCGGCACAGGAGTCTGCAGTTGCCTGCTATACCTGAATGATTGTGGATCCACACTAGCACTACTTCAATACCAGACAAGAACAATGTGATGAAGAAACATGAGTATATAATTAAAAAATATGATTAGTATTGATAATAAACATGCTTACCCCGTGTGTATTTTTAAACATACGTGTTAATTACGTTTATTTTCTAATTACAAAATTAAAGCAAAAATGAGTATTAAATATAACATGAATTTTAAATACCATACCTCATGCAAATGCCTTCCTCTGCTTGCCAAAATTTTCACAACACTTTGGTTCTCTTTTGGCAATTCGAAATCTTTCCGCAGTGATTCAAGTTGCACATATTTGCGTTTTGTATATTCAGACATTGTTGTTAGTAACTATCGTGAACTGTTTTGACTTAACTAAATAACACGTGAATGTTGTTGCACACACTGTAGTTGTACAAATACAATTTAGTCACTTGACGGATTTGTGTCGACGGCGTCGACTGAAGGAGTGGACTATACGAAATGAGTGAGCACGAACACAACATAAACTACAAAACTTTCATATTTAACATAGTACTCTGTGCTACGAAACAAATATAACCAAACCACCATAACAATAAGAGTAACACGCAGTGTTGCCAACAGTTAAATGAACTCTCCACCAGATTCAACATCTAAAACCACCAGAAAACCAAACAAGCCGTAGGAAGATAGTTACTATCCTGGATTATGTACTCGAAGTTGTAGCCCATAATACTGGCACATAGCCTACATCATCCCATTGCCTAAAATTAATAATCCTTCTCTTCCTGAACATTTCTAACCATTCTTCCTTTCTTATCAACCGTTCTTGAGGTAGGCGTACACAAACAGTTCTCACAGTTCATCATTCAATAGCGATTCCTAAGTCCTCCACAATCTTACTATTACTACTAAACCACCAAAAAAAACACTAGCCAAAAAGCAAATTTCGCCACTACAAGGTGGTCGAAACCACTAGTTTTAGTGGTAAATCCATTAGATTGGCAGCACTGGTAACACGCCACTACTCCAAGTTGTGAGATGAATGAAATGACAGATGTCACGTCTAGTGATGTTCACGTGATATTATCGACTATTCTCAATACAATCTATAGTGGACAAAATCACATTGAACTGTGAGGAACCGGTTATTTATCATTTAATTTTGCATGCAGATCTTGTAGTTGCACTAATATGGAAAGCCTCGATAAAATTCTAATTTACAACAAAAACCCGAAATTGTTTTAGTATAGGTCTCGATTGTATTTTATTCTTTTTTTTTTTTTTCACATTGAACTGTGAGGAACCGGTTATTTATCATTTAATTTTGCATGCAGATCTTGTAGTTGCACTAATATGGAAAGCCTCGATAAAATTCTAATTTACAACAAAAACCCGAAATTGTTTTAGTATAGGTCTCGATTGTATTTTATTCTTTTTTTTTTTTTTTTTGACAAAGTTAAAAACAAAACGTTACAAGGCTACACTGTCTTGTCACACATGAGTCTTCTAGTCAACGACAATCACCAAGTAGGCTGTACTAGCTTGGTTTGCCGTCTCCTTTCAACACTCCTCCTAAACCAAAACTAGTGCCAAAGAGGTAGGCGCTCTCACTTCTTACTCTATGGCTAGTGCAGATTTCAATAGATCAAAGGTGGGTTTCGGAAGACCTTTGGTCATTATATCTGCAAGCTCGTCTCTGGTACCAATTCTTGTAACTAAGATGGTTCCTTCAGAGACAAGTTCACGAACATAAAAGTGTCTCACACGTATATGCTTAGTTCTCTTGTGGAACTCAGGGTTGTGTGCCAATCGTACAGCTGCTTCGTTATCAACATGAAGATTCGGCACACTCTTCTTATTCGTCAAGTTTTCGAATATTCTAATCAGCCAAACTAATTCTCGTGCTCCTTCACTGGCAGCCACAAGTTCAGCTTCAGTTGTAGACAGCGCTACTGAAGTCTTGCTTGTCCACGACACAGGACCTCCTGCGTATCGGCATACGATTCCAGTAGTGGATCGTCCGGTAGTAGCATCACCACCATAATCAGCGTCGCTGAAACCTTCAAGTTCTGGTCTTTTCAGTGTCTTCGGTTTGTATTTTATACCTAGAGACGTAGTTCCCTTCAGGTATCGTAATATACGTTTGACTCTGTTCCAGTCACTTCTGGTCGGCTTTTCTAAGTTGCGAGATACTACTCCAACAGCATAGGCAATATCAGGACGGGTCGCAACCATAAGGTATGCTAACGCACCAACGGCTTCACGATAAGGAAAGTTAGTCTCCTCGTTGTGTCCTTTCTCTTCATCTGATTGTGTTGCAGACGACTTTTCTGCGGCATCAATCGGCGTTGAGACAGGATTACTGTTAGCCATGTTGAAGCGTTCAAGTACCTTCTTGGTATATGGTTCCTGGTGGTTCACAATCGTGCCGTCTTTGCATTGATTGATCCCCATTCTTAAATAATACGTAATGAGATTCACGTCTGCTAGAGAAATGTGGTTAGAACTTCATCGAATGTTCGACGGAGCCAATGAAGACAGGACCTTCCAGCTATGTATGAGTTTCTTTGGATTAAAAAAAGGATCCAGCTGACGACGCAGCAACTCATATGTCGAAATTGAAAAATATTTGGACCTCATTGAATAAAGAACTCGGCGAAGATAAGAATCTCCTAGATCTTCTTCTAATTTGCAAGACTCTTGACACACTTGGGGAAGAATACAGTCAGTTTAAAAGTGGATGGTTGATGTGTCCGACGTCCGAAGGAACTATCGACAATCTAACCAATCGCCTGTGCGTTTTTGAAAGGAACTTGATGGTGCCTATCGTGCCGCCAGATCAAGAGGCCTTACCAACGACAAACACACAGAATGCGGCCAAGAAGAAGAGGAAGGATAGCAGAATTAAATGTAATTACTGTTTGAAGACAGGCCATCGCGTGTTAGACTGCAGGAAGTGGTTAGCAGACGGCAAACCCCCAAAGAGCAGTAACCCGCCTTCCTCTTCATCGTCCCGCAAGCAAGAATCTCAAGTTGCAGAAGTATTGACATCAGAACATGAAGTATTCTCGACTTCATCAGGTACAGTGAACTGGTTCGTAGATAACGGCGCAACGTGTCACGTCACCAATCGCGGCGATCTATTCCAGACCTTCCAACCATTCGACGAGATGCACACCGTCTCCACCGCTAATGGAAATGCATTGCAAGCCAAAGGCAAGGGAGATATCAACATCAAATCGAAGGTACGAGGAAAAGTCTACGAGTTAACGCTGAAGGACGTATGGTACGTGCCAGAGATCAAGAAAAACCTTTTCTCGGTCTTAGCAGCGCAGTGGAAGCGTGCTGGGCCCATAACCTCTTGTACAACAAAAACCCGAAATTGTTTTAGTATAGGACTCGATTGTATTTTTTTTTTGACAAGTTAAAAACAAAACGTTACTAGGCTACACTGTCTTGTCACACATGAGTCTTCTAGTCAACGACAATCACCAAGTAGGCTGTACTAGTTTGGTTTGCCGTCTCCTTTCAACAGCAGATGCATAAAGACTCTTTCGCCTATTTACCAGTAAATCTAGTAATTATTTTAAAATATTATATTTATACCTACCTTTTACCTTTATACATAATAACAACAAAATTACTAGATTTACTATTCAATAACGTCTAACCTACCTATCTAGCAACTCTAACCTACGTACGCAAAAATCGAATGATAAATCACAGTTCTATCTATACAAATAAATAAAATTGGAGTGTCTGTTTGTAATTGTTTAATAAATGCATATATTATGTATGTATGTATGTATGTATGTAAAATAACATTATTTTCAATTTTTGTCTGTCTGTTTATTCCGGGTAATCTCTGGAACGGCTGGACCGATTTCGACGGGACTTTCACTGGCAGATAGCTGATGACATAAGGAGTAACTTAGGCTACTTTTTTTAGACTAGCTTCGCCCCGCGCCGTTGCCCGCGGTTATAACAACAAACGCGGGTAACACCGCGGGTCTCAGCTAGTCTACAGTATAATTGTCGGCAAACAACTTGAACATTGGGAGACGGAGTGGGGGAAAGCTTTTTTTTATTTTTATTTTTTTTTTTAAAAAGACAACTTCCGCAGTAGGAGTACATTCCTGTGTCGCGGAGGACTTTACAAACATATATGAAACGGACACAAAGAACACCCAGACTCAGAACAACAAATTGTGGTTCACACAAAGTGTAGTTCCATGTGGGGTTTGAACCCACAACACTCGGCGCAGTAGGAAGCGGCGTGGCGACCGCTTAAACCACTACGCCATCCGTGCAGTCAAGTTTGCGCATGTACACTTGCTAGCAAAAAAATAGTACCTAAATATATTTGTTAATGTAGTTGTATAACTCTCTTTTTTGTATGTTTCAACTCCTCAGAAAATTACAGCATATATACTATCTTTGGGCTTTATGCTGTTTTTCTTTGACTGCGTAAAAAAAGCATGGGAATTTAATTACTTTATTTAATATCAATATATTACATAAAGTAAAAATAAACATTTATTGTTAAAAATGATAAACTATTTTTAGGCTGCTAAGTAGGAGAAAATCGCCTTTGGTTTCATAAATACATTTTCTTATTCTTAGAATTTACTGAGAGAGTGTATGCTTAATAAAAAAAAACAAGGATTTCGTGCAGGTCAATGGTGAGGAATCTGAAGCGTCTCCTGTACATCACCCTCAAGACTGATCTTTGAGCACTTGATGCACACGCATACGAGTATAATGTCGGTTGGTCACATGCATGTGGGCACAAAAATAAATACCTACATGTTTTCGTTATACGTTATACGTTTTCTTCGTATTGAACTCCCAGTGGTAACACCTATTTGAAAGCGATGCTAAAATTCAACACAGTAGCCGTTGGAACCAGTGGTATAATAGTAAGATTAGCTTACTTCCACACCTGATGACGAGTGGCGACTGTTCGAGACTCAGTGCCTGATCACTTTTTAACCTTTTGGTTTTAATGTCGGGATATATTTTTTAACTCTGTTACTTTAAAATGACTGACTGCAGCTTACGGAAAAAAGTAAAAATATGTAATTTAATAAAAAAGTTATTATTTTTCATAAGATAACTTATTTATATTATCATATCAACTTTAAAATAAACTAAACATTATAATAAACACATTTAAGTTTAATATTTTCATAAACTATTTTGGTTATACAATTGTTTACAAAGGTTGGGTTTAATTTGTTCATTTTCTCAAGGAAAAGAATATTGAAACTTGACCTCTGTTTTACAATTACAAACTAACTTATTACTATTAAAATTATTGCCCTAAAGAAAATTTAGTTATTTTTGAATTTAAC